AACTCCAGCAGAGCGGATCTCTAGAAGAGATTCTTTCCTCCCCCCCCCCCCCAGCTCTTAAATAGGTCTAGGAGAGGGGAGCCTGGCTCCACCAATCTTCCGGCACACAGCTGAATTGCCTTCACCTGTGCTCCTCTGGCTGACTCAGTGCTCACCTCAGGTGATCAATCAGAGGTTCAGGCCGTGACTCAGCAGTCCCCATACACCACCCTAAATCAACCAGCACCACGAGGGCCTGTACAATGACTGAGGCATTCCCTCTGACAGATGGTCAGCGGAAAAACAGAACTACCTGCACCTGTCAGAGCTCCTGGATGGTTGGGACACCCACTCCAGATCCACCGAACAGCACCTGAGTATGGGCTGAAGGTTAAAACATGGACAAAATCTATGTTTTGTAAGAACAGACGTTATGCTGCCATAGCTGTTACTCCAGCTCCTCGATAGTGATTAATAGTGGCAGTGATCCTTTCAGCAGAGGTCACCAAGGCAAACGAAAAGGCACAAAAAGCTGGGAAGAGCAGCTGGGTGATGAAGTGGAGGGCAGGGAGAGGTGAGGCTCCAGGCACGTGCTGTCCCAGCAGAGTGCCTGCAGAGCAGAGTTTGGTGCTGGGATGCTCAGGGCAGGACTGCAGGGGCAGCAGCTCTCTGCCTGGCATTGCCCCAGTCTGCTTCTCCTCATACCCAAGAATAAGTGAAAGTGGGAGCTTGGACATCCTCTGGCCTCAGTCGGACACTTCAGGGAAGATGGGCACCAAAAGGTGGAAAGAAGCAGGAAAATCCCTGAAGAAGAGCAAGAGATGGGAGCTGGGGAGGGAGGAAGGCAGCACAGACAGTGGGAGCCACTGTCTTGTGTTGCTGGATTGCTGGCTTAATTACCCCTGGCAAAAGCACAGTGATTAACATCGCTGACTGCAGACAACCTTTATGTAATTACTCATTAACATTTCTAAAATTGCACCCACCTGCTGCAGCAATACATGCTCTAGAGATTCATCACGTCGAAGCCCGGAATGAGCCATCAGCTGTGTGCAGGGTGCTGCACATTGCCAGCTGCTGTTACACTGCAGAAATGAGCAAGGGGAGACTTCCACTCACCTTCCCAAAAAGGTACCGGGGGACTCGGGGTTCCCAGCTGGGCTCAGCCCTGTGCCCCATCCCCAGGCTGCAGTCTGTGCTGCCTGCTCTGGTTTGTGCTTATGGAAGATACAATCACAGCCCCTTACAGAGATGGGAATTCTCCATCCCTATGGCGTGGGTAGGGGGAGGCAGAGCGAGGGGTGCTGCTGCACGCATGAGCACCAGCTGCCAGCAGTTGCAATTGTCCAAGAACATCAGCAGAGGTCCTGTGAATAATAATTCAAATAATGGGTTAATTAGAGGAAACTGTGACGTGCTTGCAAATGTCCTGCAGGCAGTAAAATGGAGCTCAGCTACACATTGAGGAGCTCTGTGGGGCTTTACAAAAGCAAGAGCTTGTTGTTCTCTTCATCTGCTGATATTGGAGAGCATCAGTTAGTTAGCAGTTAGAGGTGACTCAAGGAAACCTGTGTCTTTACAAGGAAGGAAAGTGTCTTTACAAAGGAAGCTGGCAGCCAGATTTTGATAATAGTCTGTGATCAGACAAGGATCTCTCTGAGCTCCTAAATGCTGTGAGCGATTCCAATCCATGAAGGTACTTCCATTGCTTCACCAACAGCCCCAGGGCTCAGTGAGCTGAAGTTGTTCAGTTGCCAGAGCATATTCTTCACAGCAAAAAAGTAAGTCAGAAGTTGGAATACTTGATCTCCAACCCCTACAGTTCTGTGATTCTATGAAATCAAAAAGCCCCAGAAAAGGCCAAAATGCCTTATCTCATCCAGGATAACTCCAATACCCTTAGCTGGAACGCTGACCATGTGAGCACCAGTGAAAAATACAACACCAACCTGCTGTACCATGGTCACCAACTCCCAGAACCACACTCATCTGCTATTGAGTTATGGGCAGACGTGAATTCTGCGAGCAGAATGGAATTTGGTCACCCCACACAATGCCAAAGAGAGACCATGTTTCCCTGACAGCTTTTCATTCCATCGTTCATTCTATATGTCCATTCCCAGGATTCAAACAGGGCTCTGAGGTCCCTTCCAACCCCAATCATTTTATAATTCTATGAGCCGTGGGTGCCAGCAGCAGGGGAAAGGGGAAAAGGCACTGCAGGAGGATGTGGTGTGGGATGGGATCCTCCTGAGCACTGCATGAAAACTTTATTTAATCCATTTAGCTTTGGATGAATGGAGGAGTTTGGGCTTCAGAAATAATCAATAGTCCTTCTGCTAGTGAGGAATTCCATCCCCAGAAGTTTCATGGGGGATTATATATTTATGGTTTCCCATTTGAAAGACTTTTAGCAGGTTTACCTCGACCATATGGCTCCTATTTGGGTTCTTTTGTTTTAGCACTTAATGCTTATGAAATTGCCAGTTAATGACATCCATGCCTAAAGCACGGTGCTTTTTTTAAAGGAAAACGTTCTCTTCAGGTCCTTGTTCGTACCTCACCACTCCTCGAGTAGGGCAGAGAGGCTTTAAGAGCCCTGCTACCTCCTGAGGATGGGTGGGGGAACAAATAGAGCCATTAAATCACAACTGGGGCGATGAGGTCACTATTGGGCACTGGGTTAGAGCCGTGCTGGGCTGTATGTGGGGATGCTCGGTTGGGAAGCGTAAGATAATGGGATCCCACAACCACCCCCCATCCATCTCCACGTTCCTTTTATCACTCTGTTCATGAGCCTCGTCCCTTCAAAATGGAAAATCCCAATTAAAGGGATTTTCTCCCCATCGGGATCACCACCTTTGCATCCCACCGTGAGAGGGGCCGCCGGGTGACTGCAGAGCGTTTAATTCCTCCGTGCCCCCTCCTCGTTCTCTTCCCCCCTTCCTCTCCTCTCGGTTTTGGAAACACCTGGTAAGCTGTAAAATGATTTACGAAGTGAAAGTGTTAAATGAGGCCACCAGCTGTAAGACTGACAGAGCTTTATGAGTTTTATTAGGTGCCCTATTATGGAAAATAAACTTTAATCCGTCCATAAAAACAGAATCTGAAAAACATATTTGCCCTTGTAGTCTGGAACACTGAAGGTATTCTTGTAGGGGCCGGGCTTTAAAGAGATTAATTTTATTGAGACAGACACAATACACCGGCAGCGCTTTGATACGGAGCCCGGCAGCGGCTGCCCGCACCCTGCGCGGCTTTTCCATGGGCTCGGGCACACAGCTCCGCGGTGTGCTTCATTAGCGGGGGGCTAATTGGGTAAATAATGAGTGAAGTGAAGTTCTTTTTGAGGGTGCGATCTCAGGTCGCCCTTGATATATATATATATATATATTTAAATTTAACTTCTTACTCTTGTTTTCTCCTTATGATTATTATTACCATTATTCAGGATAACGAGGCAGGTTGCCCGATTTCGGGTGTCTCGGGGGAAGAGCAGATGGATCTCAGCCAGTGAGGCACATTTGGGCTCGGAGGCAGAGAAGCCGCGGTGCTGCGCCGAAGTTGTGCATTGAAAATCGCAAATTTGAGATTGAAAATCGCAAACCCATCTCTCTTCTCCTTTCCTTTCCTTTTTCTCGCTTTACATTCCCCAAACCCCGCGGCCTGCAAACGAAAGGAAATCGTTGTACCGATTTAAATCAGAGCCCGTAACTCGATTGTTTCCCTGCAAGGGGAGCAGGCATCGATCAGCCTAAATCAAGTTTCCCCCGATCAGGTTTTTGGCACCTGGGATCTGCCCAGATTTATGCTCTACCCCGGGAGCGGCTTTGAATTACAGCGTATTCCCGAGGAGTGTCGGGCAGTAAAGTCATAAATAACAGCAGTGCCGCTAAATCCCATCCCGGGGAGCAACGCTTGAAGCAATCCGGGATCGGGAACGGCTTTCCTGCGTGCAGAGGAAAACTGGGGCTGCGCTCCGCGGAACGGGAGAAGTGAAGGTTAAGGAGGGACTGTGGAAAGATGCTTTAAAAATAACGACAATGATAAAATAAGAATGAAAACAACAACAGTAATAATAATAAAAAAAGAGTAGAAGTATATATGATTTTTAAATGCAAAAAAATAAAAACGTGACACAGATCTATGTAGAAAACGTCGGAGGAGGAGTAGGACGCGTTTCAGGAGGTTCTTCGGCCCCTTTTCTGCCATACAAGCGGTTGCGCCCGGGTGCGCGGCTGCGGTTCCCCGCTCACGTTGCGCGGACGCGGTTCCCCCGTTCGTTAGCGGGGTTGAGCCCCGGGGAGCAGGCGGGGCCGAGGCGGTTGATTGTATTTAAATGCTCTCTAATTGAGCCGGGGAAACGCCGCCGTGACAAGAACCGATTGATCCGCGGATTTATTGGAGAGAGAAAGCCCGGAACGGCCTCGCTGGGCCCTCGGAGGGACTCTCCTCGGCCCCGGGAACCCCTCGTCCCTTCGTACAACCTTTCTCGCTTTCTCAGGAGGCGAATTAACGCCGCTTTGGATCTGCAGCCTCACAAGAGGGTGGAAATCGCACGTCCGACAGCCCCAGCCCCCCCGGCCCAAGGAGCCGCACACGTCCCCACAGTACAAAACGCTCTTTATTTATATTCCTCCCCCCCACCTCACAGCGGGAGGGGCTGGGTAATAATTTAGCATGCATAAGTAGAGGAATTCATTTTTTTTTTTTATAAATACGATATACAAAAATAAAGACAGTATTGAGATTTGCAGCAGTTTTAACGTTCATGACATAAACACTTCTCCCGATATATAGTAAGAAGGAAACTGTTCCGATAGGGCATGGAGGGGACGGGGGCTCAAGTCGTGGCCGCTTCTCAGTCAATAATAACACTGTGTGAATCCTCCCTCCCGCTCTGCAGACGGGAGATCGCCTTCCGCGTCCCCCTCCGGGCAGGGAGGGATGGGAGAGCGAGATGGGGAGCGGGGCCAGGAGGCTCCGTTGCCGGGGGCGGCCCCGACGGAGCGGCCTTGGGCTCACTGCGGCTGTGCGGGGAGTGGCGGGGGGGCTCCGGGCCGTCCCCCGGGCTGCGAGTCCTCCTCGTCCGCATCGGAGCAGTCGGAGGAGTGATAGGGGCAGCACCGCCCGGCCTCGGCCTCCTCTTCTTCCTCCTCTTCCTCCTCCTCGTCCTCGGGCTCGCTGTCGGGCAGATCCCGCAGCCGCCTCCCACCTTTCTCCGGGCCGGGCAGCAGCAGCTCCTCGGCCGCTTTGTCCTCTCCTCCTCCTCCTCCCTTCTGCTTCTCGGCCTCCTGTGCCGCCTGCTCCTTCGCCTTTTTGCTGCGCTTCCATTTCATGCGGCGGTTCTGGAACCAAATCTTCACCTAGAAACGGGAAACAACCTCCTCATCCACCGCCTCTCGGTTTGTCACCCTCCGTGCACTCCCCATCCTTTTTTTTAAAATTTTCTTCCCCTTTTTAATTATCACTACTTTCCCTTATTTCTTTCCGCACCTGCGTCTCGGTGAGCATCAGCGACGTGGCCACCTCGAAGCGCTTGGGCCGGGAGAGGTACTTGTTGAGCTTGAACTGGTGCTCCAGCTCCAGCAGCTGCTGGCTGGTGAAGGCGGTGCGCGGCCGCCGGCACTTCCCCAGGAGGTTGGACTGCGCCTGAGCTGAGGAGGGGAGGGAGAGGGGGGAAAGAAGGGGAAAACGCGGCCATCAGCGCGGGGCGGCTCCGACGGCGGCCCCGAGTGGGACGGGGGGAGCAGCGGAGAGAGAAGCGAGAGGGGAACAGAGGAGCGGTGGTGATGGGGATCCCTTATAAGGCCGAAAAGATGCGTGTGTGTTGGGGGGAGTGAAACAAGTCGTTTAAATAAATAAAAAATAATAAGAAAAAAAAAATCTCTTCGTTCTCCTGAGGGCCGCACAACGAAACGCTGCCGGGGATCGCGGCGAAGTGGCATCTCCCGGGAGCGGCGATTTGTTGCGTTTAACAAATCCCGGCGGCGGCAATTAGAGGGATGTGTTAATTAATCCTAACACCAATGGACGGGATACGATGGTTAACCCCAATCCCTAACCCAGAGCCACGGGATGCGGCAGCGACCGCATTCGGGAGCGCACCGATAAGGGCCGAGAGACGGGAAACGGCCTTGGAACGAGAAAAAAATATATACATACTCTCTATATTCCATATATTTGCCCATTCCTCCCCTTTTAATAACGTTTCAAATCGAGGATTTCATTAACAAAAAATAAATGAAAAGAACGCGGCGGGTTACCGCGCGGTTCTCACCGCAGTTTGGCACTTTCGCTCCTTCGGTTTAGAAAACAGGGAGGGCAGCGGAGGCCCGGGGCTATTTTCGCACCGCGGTGCGATTTTACCATCCCCGTCTCCCCTCCGGCCCCTATTTGAGGGCAGTGCTCGGACAGCGCTCCTCTGTGGGTTCCAACCCCGTCCCTGAACGCCGCAGTCCAAACAACCCCAATCCGAGAGCAAACAATGAGGTTTTGTCTCCACGAACGCGCGTAGACCAAGAAGAAAAAAAAAAAAAAAAAAAAAAAAAAAAAAGTCAATAAGCACAAGGGTGATATGGAGGAGATGCCCGGAGCTGCTTGTGGTG